GAGGCACAAAACAGGGCCAGGCCCTTGCTACCCTGTGCAGTCCTTTCTGAGTCCTCCAGACCAGCTTTCCCATAATGGACCATCCATCCAGGTAGCCTCACGCTCTGCCTTGGTGGCATCTGCCGTGCCAGGAGACAGAGCCCCTGGGGCAAGAAGCGGCTTTCCCCAGGACGGGGGCACAGAACCTGTCCCCATGTTTGGCGTCAGGCTTGAGCACATGTTGAGCTTCGCGTGGGCAGCCCTGTTGTCCTTGCCTTCAACAGGACTGTGCAAATGCCAGATCAGCCCTTCGCCTCCCCTTAGCAATGCACAGAGGTGGCACGAGCGAGGTTTGGTGGGACCACGATTGCTGTGAGCTTCTCAGAGCAAGCRATGGGTTAAACCGGAGTGGGCAACACCTGCGTGTGCCACTGTTCCTGGCCATAACTTGGGGTTACCTTGCCGGCTTGTTGCCTGCTCCTCTCTTATGCTTGCTGCTCTGTCCTGCTGTTCTCCTGGTCTTAAGTCCATGGAAGATGATCCAAGATGTCCCAGAGGACAGGAGAGCTTCTGCAGAGCCAGGAGGCACCTGTGGCAGAGCAGGAGGGTGCTGGTTTGTGTGCGTGTCACTAGTCCAGAACTGCTGTGGGTGCAAATTCTGCCCAAAGAAATTCTTGAAACCTCAGTTGAACGGGAAAGTGTTGATTTTGATGAACTTCTTCAGTGGGGGAGGAGAGGGAGGACAGCAGCGTTTCTTTTGCTTTAGACCAGCGCCTGAAATTGCATTAGAAAAATATTTTAATTACATCGTATTGTACAATATGCATGTTGAAGTGAATTGAAAGGATAAAGTTGAAAGGAAATCTGTTGAGGGAGCTGCTAATTGACGGAGTTTTGAATTTGCCTTGTAAGAAACATCAACATTTTAGTTCTCCTTGTCTGGATAGGGAATGAGTCTCCCGTAAGTGTTGGAGTTTCCCACAGAGSAGATGTTCAGCTCCTCATTTGTGCTTCCTCAGCAGATCCCTCCCGCTCCGAGGCTGTGTCCGCCTCAGCTGGAGGCGCCGGCGAAGCCGTGGTGAGGCAGGGCTCGCGCCTCCTCAGGTAGCTCCTGATTAAATAAGCCCCCGAGTCCCCTGATAAATGCTCCCGCACATTAAATTAATCCAGGCGCTGCTATTTGCTGAGGCTTTAAGTGAGTAATGGGGAGGAAAATAAAGGCAATGCACTCTGAAATCTGCTCCATGCAGAGGCAGCGCTGGGGCCCAGAGCAGCCTTTCCCAGCTCCTGGTGCTACTGAATAACTTGCCATGGAAAAGCCCGGRCTGGGTGGGGAAGAGCTTGCGCTTCTGGCTCTCATGTGCTGCTTGCATGGCTGCTGACATATGTCCTCTTAGAGCCCTGCGGAGCAATCAGCAGGGATTCTGCAGGAGAGCGGGAAGGGCAGAGCGTTGCAGGGTGACCGTGGCGCAGGTGAAAGCAGAATTGGGTTGAACGGGGTGATGCAGGGAAGTTGGCCAGCGCACAACCGGATTTGGAGACGGGGACGATGCTCCCTGCTTCCCTGGTTGGCAGGAATAACGTCCAAGTTTCTGCTGGCAGGACGGGCCCCGCAGAGACCGCGCTTTAGCCCCGGGTGGGTTTGCAGAGGTGAGCGAGGCGGCTGTCCCTGCAAAGATTAGGAGGTGGACAGCGGGGTGTTGAGCACAGCAGCCTCCTGACCTGCTCTGCCGCCGTTTCCCCATGGCACAGGGCTTTATCCTCACCTTATCTCGCGCACAGGGGCTCTTTGCCCCTCGTGGCACACCGAAGGCAGGAGGATTTTTGGCAGCCCCTTTCCAGCCCTCTGCATTCAGCGGCTGGGACTGTGTTTGGGGGGGACACGGCGGCTGGGCGGCCCTTGTGCTGCTGCAGGGTGCATCGGCGTGCCGGGATGCGTGAGAGGAAGGGCAGTTAAGTGTGCAGTACCATCACGCTGGAAGCAAAACTGAGCCTTAATGAAAGATCTGAGCTATAACTGCTGTAAATGCAGTGCAGGCAAACGCTCCCAGTGCTGTAGGCCGCCGTGTGCGAACCTGAAGGCAATTTCTGGCACTGTCATCACTGGGATGAAGCGAGGGTCTGGCTGTCTGGAAAAGACTCCTGGAAAATGTGCGTTTGAGACCGGAGGAATCTGCTGCTGTGTGGGTGTCCCTGCGAGGTGAGGGCAGCCTGGGGAGATGTGGTCCCTTTGGAAGGGGATTTTTGCCGTTGCTGGAAGGTTCTGAAGCCCTTGGGTGCTGCTGGATGTGGTGGGAATGTGTGTGTGCTGTGTCATGAAGCCTTCCCAACTCGGTGCGGAGCGGTGTCGGACTGCTCCTCCCGCTGCAGCGTGGCTGGGAGTCCTGTTTGCGGCATCCTGCGGGACCTAGCCGGCCACAGGCCTAAAACTGGGAGGGAAGGATGTATTGGCTTCCATGAGGGAGATGGGACAGAGGGGAAGGTGGTTTATCTGGGACACTCGGGGCTTTGGGACACTGGGCACAAGCCCCGAAACAGAGCAGCGCACCAGAAAAGACGGCATGAGGCGGCTGCTCTCCCTCCTGCTAAAGAAGCCCCTTCTCTCCTCTGCCCCGGCAGGTGCTGGAGGAGCGGCCTCCCCGCCGCGCTCCTGAGGCCATGGCGCCGCCGCGGCCGCTGCTCGCCCTGGGCCTCCTGCTGCTGCTGCTCGCCGCGCTCCCTGCGCACGCCGGGTAAGGAGCCCAGCGCCCGCGCCCTGCCCCGAGCAGGGCAGGGKGCAGACGTGTCCCCCGGGGCCGCCGGAGCCCTGGCCACATCCCGCTGCGGCCGGGGCTCCCGCTCTGGTGCCTGGGCCGTGGCACACGTGGCCCTGCTCCCTGTCCCCGGGCCTCCCGCGACGGCACCGCGCGCTCCCTCGGCGCGGATGTGCCTTAGCGTTGCTTGAGCTGCTGAGCGAGACATGCAAATAATGCGTGACTTCTATATAAAAATTAAAAAAGCAAAATGAAAATTAAAAGCCTTGAGTGCGCCAGGTGCGGGCACGGAGGCTCTCTGCCGAGCGCACATCTGGCAGAACTGGGGTTTCTTACTCTAAGAAGGTGCCTGTGCAGCCGCTCTCCCTGCGTCCGTCCTGGTGCGCCCTCCGCCCGGCTCTGCCCTGGCCCCAGAGGCAGGCGCTTGGGTTGTGCCCGAGCAGACGTGTTGCCCGTGGTGCCTGAGCTTGCACGTTGCACCGGTGCTTGGCTCCGGCCGTGCCCGTGTGCACCTGGGGACCCCCGTCCCGGCTGCCCTGCGGGTGCAGCTCTCTCCACGCCGGTGCCAAGGGTGGCAGCGCGTGCGGCCGCGTGTCCCGTCCCGGGCACCCGCTGCTACTGCCAGCCCCACCGGCTCTCGTTGCATGGGGAAAGCTCCACTCAGCCCTGGGATTCGTTTCCCAGCTCTGGGATTGGTTTCCTTAATTGAATCCGAGGAGACCCCGGCACCCAGGGTAATGAGGCGGCTCCCCGAGGAGCGTGCGTGCAGGGGGCCCCTGCAGAGGTAATGACTTCCACCTGAGCTCCTCCTAATTAAATCCCCTGTAAAACTCCTTTTGGTAGCTGAAATTGAAAGCCTAAGGTCTTTTCATTATTGTAAAGCCACCGCTCGCATATAACTACAGGTAGCTTTGCAGTTCCTTTGCCGGGGATAAATGAGAGCCGTTTTGCCCCTTGCTAAAGGGCAACTAGAGCTTCGTTAAGACGAGGTGAGGCCCTCCCTGCTTCAGCAGGACCAAGGAAGGGCCGTAAATCAGTGCAGGTGGAGATGCTGCTGCCCATCATCCCCATTCCCGCTCCCTGTCCTGCTTTTCCCTGGTCCCACAGTGCTCCCGCTGCAGTGAGTCGCAGCGTGGGGCTCAGTAAAACCCTTTGGGCCCCTGCTTTCCCACCCTGCTGCCGAGCCTCCGCGAGGAGATCCTGCACAGAAACCTGCCCTCGCGCTCTTCGTATCACAGGAAATTTCTAAAGATAGCTCATGAAACATTAACGAGCGAGCTTCCGCGAGCACGCTAGTTATTCATAAGGTATAGACTGTTGCATGCCCCTCAGCAGGCACTGGCAGCGATCGCTTTGGAGCATGGCATGTTGAATGCTGGCGCAGTGCAAACTCCCCCAGCTCCAGCCAACACCTGTTGGGATTCCTCAAAATTGCTCTTCTCCCCAAAGAGCTGAGGTACCTTCCATTCTGCACTGTTGTGCAGTCAGTGCTGGAAGGAAAACCCAAACTGCTGTTTTGTTCTCAACGGATGGTCTCAAAAACTGCAATTCAGTCCATAATCCCAGAATCCTGGGGAGGTTCTGGGTGGCACAAGCYCTTCCAGCTGCAATCTGTGGCAACCCGGAGGTCTGGGGAGCCCTTGGCTCCCTGGAAAGGTGCCTGCATCCCCGCGAGCCCCTCGCCTCGCTCTGGGCTGTGGCACCGGGGGTTTTGCTGGGCAAGGAGGCATTTCCCCAAGCCAGCGGCTTGTGCTCAGCGGACCTCTTGGATGATGGGCCATAGCGCAGCCCTGTGCCATTTAAATATATATATGTATATATTGACTGCTACGYTTGTGGTGCTGCCTCTGCTTTTTGCTGTGGTTGCCTGTGTTCATCAAGGCAATGCTCCCCTGCCGTTGGTGTCTCCAGCAGGTAGTCAGCCCTGCTGCCCTCAGCCCGGATGGTCCCCGAGCCACTGCTGCAACCCAGCAGCATTTATCTCTTTCTTCCCTTCTCTTGTCTTTCCTGCAGCGCCTCTGCATTTTTTTTTCCTCCTGTTCCTTTTTTCTGCTGCTTAATGTGCTGCCCTTGCCATTTGGTTTGGTCCTAACAGCTATTTCTGCTGGGAAAGCCGGGCTTGGAGCCGCAGGGCTTTCCCAGAGGCTTTAAACCTGCGCAGCGCCGGGACTCCGGCCTTGGAAGCTCTCCTGGCCTCTCCTCTCAGATCCAGCTGCTTGCTATAGGATTTGGAGGCTCCCGTCGCATCGATTGAAAGGGAGATGCGAAATGCAAATGTGTTATTTGAAGCTCTTGGGCTCACAGAATTGCATTGGAGATTCTGTTTGGTGAGATGAGTTTTGTCTGAGAAATTTGCTGCTTAGTTTGTTCCACCTGGGGCAGAAAATACTCTGAGGAAATCATCTTATTTGGGGGCTTCCAGGCTTCTTGCATTGAACGGAGATAGGAACAGGAAAACTCATTTGATTTTATAAACAGCGAAGGTTCACCAAACTGCAGAAATAGTTCGCAGGGAGTTTTAATGATGGATTCAAGCTCCCAGCCTGCTTTACTTAATTCCTATTTTTCTGCCTGCCTTCCRTTCTCCCAGGAGAAGGGTACTTGAGAATTACTCGATATGGTAAATAACTGGCCTGGCAAACGACTGGCATCGTTTATGCCGTGTCTCCTGCAAAGAGAAGCTGGGATAGATCTGAGTTTTGCAAAGCTTTTGGCTCCTCAAACTTCCCCCGTTAGGGTGCTGGCTGAGGGCTGCTGGGGCAGGGAAGGGGTATCCTTAAAAACTGGGTTCCAGAACTGTTCCTTTGGGGCTGCTCATGCTGCCTGCAGGAGCTCGGCGAGGGGAGCTGCAGGACCCTGCTGCTTTCTCGGTGGTGGTCGAGGTGGGATAAGAGCGGGTTTGGGGCTGCCTGTGCCCAACCTCGAGCCTCATGAGCAGACCTCCTCTTATCTTCACTTAAGTGCCCTTTTTCACTTAATTAATTTCCCTTAAGTGTGAAGAACAGGCTTCTCTGATTGTGTTTTTTTCTCTCCGTTTTCCCCCGCGTGCCAGGCTCTCACAGAAACACGTTTCGGACGTTGTTGATGACAGCAAGGATAACATCACCATTTTCACCCGCATCCTGGACAGGCTGCTCGATGGATACGACAACCGCCTCAGGCCGGGGCTCGGAGGTCAGTCCAATGTGGGGGATGATGTTTTCTGCTGCGAGGCTTTTGAAACTAGTGACTACACAGGGAGGACTTGGGGATGTTTTAAGGAGCCTGGACCTGCAGGGAGGAGAGGCTGCTTCAGTGCCGCAGCCGKTTGCTGCTTTCCCGTTTCCAGTCCATGCTATCTCACACGTTGGTATTTTGAGGCGAAAGATGCAAGTTTCTACAACTGCCGCGGCCTTCTGTGATGCTGCGCTGATAGGCTGGTAGATGGAGCAAATGTAATATTTATTTTCACTACTTTTATGGGGCTTAGCATTCATAAATTATGATCCCTCCGGTTTGCAGGATATTCAAGGTTTGCAGGACTCTGCTGTGCAGGTTGCCGTTGCTCTTACTAAGGACCTCAATAGGGTTTGCTGTAGAGCTTTTCCCTTCTCTCTGTTTGGCTGTTTCCTCTTTTGCAGTTCCCTAGGAAGTTGTTCCCTGTGTGGGGATGTGGGTCTCACTCCTGTGTGTCCTGAGGTGGCTTTAATGCCCTCATGGCTACCGCTGCTAAATTCCTCCGCAAGCACTCGCTGATGCGCGCGGCGTTTGAGACGGGCAGAACCACAGCAGTCACCTTCCCTCCTTCCTCCCAGTGCCTGTGATGTGCACAGAGCATGAGACAGGGGAGTGGAAGCAACAGGGGGATGTGTGAGGAAGATGCACACCAGCTTTAYTGGCGAGATGAGCGAATTGCTCAGTGAGGCTGAGCCGTCCTGGGTTAGCTCAGTGTTTTGTTTTGCCCCGGGCACTGCCCTGAGATTCCCTTCTCCCTTGGCTGCCTCTTGCCCCCTTCTCACGCTGTGGCCAACTGTACCAGGCCAGCTCTAGCCCCGTGCAGACACGGTGCGGATGGAGACCGGGAGGGCTCCCCAGCCACCATCGCTCCTGCTGCCAGCCTGCCCGGCTGCGGGCCCGGCAGGGAGGGGGTTACAGCATCTGCATAGACCATCCATCAGGTTTATTGCTTTTGTTGCGTGTTCCTTTCCCCCAGAACTAGCTGCAGCCCTACTAATAGCTTTGCTTCCCCGAGTCTCCCCGTGGCTGTATTGATTTAGCTGAAACAAGTGCTGAAAGGGGACTGAGGGGCATTTGTGTTGGCCCCAGGCTCAGCTGCAGACAAGCCCCCTCCCCCGTGCCGAGTCTTAGCAGGAGGGCTCCCAGGAGCCGCCTTGCCGGGGAAGTTAAACCTGCCTTGCAATAGCTCTGCTCTGATGCTTTAGATCCTTTAATGGCGTGCTTAACATAATGAATTGCCTTTGCCTGGGCCAGGCCTCCTGTRCTCAGCTGGAGATGGCTCTGGACTCCTGCAGCAGCACCAGGCAYGGGGGCACAGAGGTGGGGAGACTCTGGGCTGCCCACAACTTGTCCTCGGTGGGCAAGAGGATGTGAAGTGCAGGGGCAGCCTGGCTTCCTGCACTCTTAGCTGGATCTGCTCCCTCTCTGCTTTCRGGGCTCCTTCCTTGGAGGTCTGTCAGGGACCCCTGCCAGTGCCCTCCGGGCCGGCGTCAGAGACCTCTCATGCTGCCTCTGGTAAAGCCTGTGAGGCAGAAATGAGCCTCACAGGCTTACAGAGACCTAATGGTTAACTGAATATTTTGGACTAATGGTCAGCAAAGATGGACTTGTGCTGTCGGGGTTATTGGAGCTCTGTGAAAGGAATGGGTTTTCCTGTGAAAGGAATGGCTTTGCTTCTGTTTCTGTTCATTAGCAGCTTCTAGTTGATTTGGTGACTTGCAGGGTGCTGCGGTTTACTGGTGAGGCGGCCGYGAGCAGTCACTGTGCCCGCAGCATCCCCTCTCCTTGCTTGCCCTTCTCGAGTGCCGGGAGGAGGCRGTCACTGGTGTTTGTGCAAAGGGCAGATTTATGCATTCCTGTGCCWGGGCACTGGCTGCTTGCAGGATGGCCTGAAAGAAATACGGCTCACCGGGCAGCAGGAGGTGCAGGCRCAGGCTTCAGCCTCAGTTTCCCAGTTTTATAAATGGAAGAAATCGGTGCCAGTCCCCTTGGTCACGGTGATGTCCAGCTACTGTGTGCTGAGAATTTAGAAATCCTCCCAAGAAAGTCAATAAAGCAGGAAGGAGCAGTAATTGTTCATTATTATTGGAAACATAAATGGACATACGGGCGAATCTCCAAGCTTTGGCCCCCGAGAAGCTATTTTGAAGGTAAGCAGTGGCCCATTAATTAAAAAAAAACTTCATTGCAGTGGCTGTGCACAAGTCAACCTTTCTAGAAGGGCCTCTGGAGCCCCGAGCTGGCGGCGGTGACGGCCCAGCGGGATCAGGGGCCTGGGGGGCTCGGTGCCAGCGCGGAGCCGGGGCAGCAGGAGGGCAGCGTGGGGCCAGCCCGTGGCTCCGGCACCGTGGAGAAGGGCAGCGGTGCCATGGGCTGATGTTCAGCACAGTGAAATAGTCGCAGGCTGCCGCAGAGACGCAGGGGTCCGTTCGGGAGAGATGTTCGGTGGGGACACGAACCGATGRGCGCCGTGTGGGGCCCTGAGGCCACCCCTCTCTGTGCCAGCCACCTCATGTGCCAGGACATCCGTCTCGGCGTGTGGCAGAGCCTCTGGCTTGCCCGCCTGTGACAGAGCAGTGTTTGTTYGGCTCTGGGGAGCTCCGCGTAAGCAGCAGAGTGTTGATGTGGCGACTTCTCCCCTCCAGATAGCCTCTTTGTATTTATTTCCTTATYCTCCCTGTTCTCGCCATCTGCTGCCACCCACTCCACCAGCTCCCATGCCAGAGCTCCACTTCCCAGCGGGATGCTGCTGGAGGGAGCTGGAGCAAGCCGGTGCCGAGGCAGTTTGTGGGCGCCCGCCGTGGGGCGGCCCCTTAGGCATGGCCGCTGTGTCCCCACACGCACGGTGCCCTCTCCACAGCCCCCGCTGCGGCRCCTCCGTGGCCTCCATGGCCTGTGGGGGTGTGGGAGGGCGCGTGGTGCCCGCAGAGGAAGGGAGAGGCAGGGCAGGCTCCTGGCGAGAGCAGAGAGCGGCTGCCAGCGCCCTCCTCCTGCCGGGTGGAGAAAGGTGGAGGCACATGGCCCATGGCAGCCATCTTGGCACCTGGCTGCTATCTCGACACCATGACGGCCATCTCAGCACCCGGAGGTCTGCCTGAGCACCGGTGCTGTCCTTCCCGTGGAGGACATGTCCCCACCAGGGAGCATGTCTCACTGGGGCAGGGAAACATCACCCTGCACAGCAGGGAAGTCACGCTGAGACACCTTGTTTCTTCCTGGGAGTCCTTACGGCCCAAGCGCAGGGGCCTCGCTGGCTGGTGTTGCCTGTGGGACCCAATGATAAGGGAATGGCCACGCTGTGTCTGGGGGAGAACCTCCTGTGGAAGAATAAGGTCAGGGTATGAAGAGAAGYTGCTGTGTGGGCTGAGATGAACCCTTCCTGTGGACGTCGTGCACTGGGCTCTTCAGCTCCTGGATGAGGTKCATGCTGTAAAGAACCTTTCCGTGCAGCCCAGTGCAGACGGTGCTCTGTGTCAGTGGGGGTATGTGATTTTATGTCACTTAGGAGAAGTTTTTGGTGCTTCGTCCAAGGCTGTTCCTCTGCCATCGCCTCTGCAGGTGTCTCTCCTATCTTTGCTGGGTCAGGAGGGAGCTGGTTAGWTTTTAGGGACAAAGTTGGGTCTTCTGCTGTGGTGAGAGGGCCCCATGTCTGCTGAAATGTAGCTTGGGCATGGAAAGAAGTAGCTGAATAAATAGATCGTTATGGGATTCAGATGGAGTGGGGAGGAGAGGAAGGAGCTGTCAGTGGATAACCTATTTCCCCTGGGAAAGCACAGTGCAGATTGGCTTCTAAGTCAGAAGAGGAACAGAAATGGACCCTGAGGGAATGGCGACATCTGTTGTAATGGCCAACCTTACGGAGTAAAAAGTTTACTACTGAGAGCTATTTTATGGATAGTCCTGGTCTCTTCTCCTAGTCTGGGGCTGTGAGATCATGTGGATCTTCTGCCTGTCTTAGCCTTCTTTATGGTCTTGAGAATCCTTCTAACTCACCTTGGATATGCAAAGCTGTTGAGGGTTTTGACATCTGTTCCTTTTGCAARCAGGGAACAGCTTATCCAGGGGAAGGCATCCCGACTCTTTCTATATCTTTTCTTTGCAGGAATAAATAGGRGGTTCTTCCACCTCAGCCTGCTGGCTGCTTTGAGATGCTCTGAGATGCCTTTTGGTGTGAGGGTGATGTATCTAGAGAGCAGTTGGAGCTGTGTTGGACAAAGTCTCCACACCACTCTCCCTGCCAGGGCTGCCAAGGCGGAAAAGGCTTTGCTACTAGAAAGAGGAGAGAGTCTCCTCGTTGCAGTTACTTCGAGGATGGGCTTTAAACTTTCTAAATGAGCTGATTTCTCTAATTGCAATTTAAAAGTCATTTGTGCCATATTAAGCAGATAGGTCAGTATTGATTATTGTGTTCCTTTCTGGATGCAGCATTGCCTACAAGGTAACTCACAGTATTTTCCTGAAGTGTCTCTCTAGGGTCTCTGAATGGCTGACTCTGCCCTTACTGGTGGAGGCGTCACTGGGCAAGTATCCTGCACTTCAGTGTCCACTTGATGTGTTTCCTTTTGAGTGAAGGAGGATTAGAAGCACATGGATGTCTTCAGAACGGAGATTTGGGGAGTCAGTCAATGGTTGCAACTAGATAAAAGCAATGCAAGTACTAAGCGAAATAATGGCACCTGGCCCTTCAGCGTCTTCCTCGTTAGGGACTAGGCATGGCAGCCCTTCCTCCTCCTCAGGATGGAGGAAGCTCCTTTGGGACCTCTCTTCACATCTCGGTGCCAGTGTCCTGCAGCCCCCTTCCCCTTTTCAGACACCCCTCGAGTGGGGCAGGCTGCAGTGCTGCCTCTTGCCAGAGCAGAGTTCAGGTGTTACAGGAGAGGGCTGAAATCTGGGGTGCAAAGGCACACACACCGTTTATCTGGCCTTGCTGTGTCAACTCTRCCCAGCTAATGGTTTTG